TGTATATCCAAGTGACTTTTGCGTCTCTGCAAATTACATCAACAATATAGAAAAGCTCTGAATGTGCTGTATACAGATTGGCATGCTAGTTGGAGATGATTGATATTCTCGTATATAATGGAGCACTAGGCTTGTTCATTGTTAGTGCAACACAAGAAACTATATTGTCTACTTGTGAAAATCTATTCTGTCAGTGTGGTAGTACATTATGAATTTATTGTGTCAAGGTGTGATGATTGTTTACAGAAACAGTATTCTTTGGAAAAAATCCTTATTGTGGGTTCCTAATGAAATATTATCATCATAAACCCCAAATAGCATGCTTATAGTAGATATTTATTTAAGAGTAGTGAAGGATTACAACCCATGTCAGGTTGCTTTTTCTAAAACGTTTGTAGGTGAGGGTAGTGTTCTTGTATTTAGGTTAGAAGGCTCATTAAGAGCCTTTGTTGTCTATGGGCTTGTGTCTATGGCATCAGTTTCACATCGTTTTTTGAGATCATTAAGTTGACATCTTTCTGACCAGCATTTAATTATCTGGGCTCCATTCACAATACCAATTTCATAAGCTCAAAAATGCTGGATAAAAAACCTGCTGACAATAGCGTTTCTGTGCCGGCTTGTAGAAGTGTTTAGGAGCCAGGGACGGACTGACCATTCGGGCACTCGGGCACTGCCTGAGGGCCCCATGAGAGGCTCAGTCCATCCTCTGGATATGCCACTGCTGAAAGCAGGAAAAAAAGAAGTGTTGCAACGGGGCAGCTTCGGACATCTCTCCTCGGAGTTTCCTCAGAGGATCGGGTCCCACATCCCTGCCACAGGACGGGTGGCCAGAGAAGAGAGCGGAGTCATCTTTGTGCTGACCTGCCCTGTATCCTGCAGCAGGTCATTGTGTAATCCCCCGACCCCGGTGACACTGACAGCACTGCAGCTTAACCGCCTCCCATCCGCCATATAAGGAAATGACAGGCGGGCGGCAGTTCTCTTGTTCTGGGAGGACATCATATGACGTCCTCCTACTCCAACGATCGGTGGTGCACTGTGTGCCTCGGACACAGCGGATCACTGATCAGCAAAAAGAGCCGAAGACGTCGGCTCGGTCATGTGATCAGCTGTGTTCAATCACAGCTGATCGCATGTAAATAAGGAAATGCCGGTTATCAGCATTCGTCTCCTCATCAGATGTCATGCTTACAGCTCGTGAGGAGAGGAGAGCCGGTAATCGGCATTCCTCAGAGGGGACATCTACACTGATCATCAGGGCACTGAACAGTGTCCTGATGATCAGTGTAGCCCCATCAGTGCCACCTGTCAGTGTCTGCCAATGCCACCTGTCAGTGCCAATCAATGCCACATATCAGTGCCTACCAGTGCACATAAATGCCACATATCAGTGCCCATCTGAGCTGCCTATCAGTGCTAGTCAGTGCTGGCTATGAGTGCTGCCAATCAGTGCTGCCTATCAGTGCCCGTCATTACCACCTAACAGTGCCAGTCAGTGCTGCCTATCAGTGCCATATATGAGTACTGCCTTTCAGTGCCCATCAGTGATGTCTGTCAATGCCCATCAGTGCCACCTACCAGTGCATCCTCATCAGCGCCCATCAGTGCCGCCTTATCAGTGCCCATCACTGCAGCCTCATTAACGCACATCAGTGAAGGAGAAAAATTACTCATTTACAAAATTTTATAACAGAAACTAAGAAAAAAACTTTTTTTCAAAATTTTTAGTAGATTTTTGGTTAGTTTAGCAAAAAATAAAAACCCTGAGGGGATTAAATACCACCAAAAAAAGCTCTATCTGTCTCAAAAAAAATGATAAAAATTTCATATGGGGACAGTGTTGCATTACCATGCAATTGTCATTCAAAGTGTGACAGCACTGAAAGCTGAAAATTGCCCTGGGCAGGGAGGGGGTATAAGTGCCCGGTAGGCAAGGGGTTAATAGTAGTCTTCTATTCTATATTCCCTATATAAAACAGTGATATCTGTACACTGAGTGGTACCCAGTGTACAGATATCAGTGTTATATATAAGGAATAGCACTCAGTGTATAGATATCAGTGATATATACAGTGGCTTGAAAGTCTTCCTCACGACTGAAATGTCCCCCATGTTGTCATGTTACAATGTATCCCCCCCCCCCCCAAATGTCCCCCATGTTGTCATGTTACAGTGTAATCCCCCCGAAATGTCCCCCATGCATGTTGTCATGTGACAATGTACTTATTGGGATTGGATGTGATAGACCAACACAAAGTGGCACATAATTGTGAAGTGGAAGGAAAATGAGAAATGGTTCCAACATCTGTGACCAATACATCTGTGAAAAGTGTGGCGGCATTTGTATTCGGCCCCCTGGAGTCAGTATTTTGTAGGACCCCCTTTGGCTGCAATTCCATCTGCAAGTCTTTTTGGGGATGTCTCTTCCAGCTTTGCACATCTACAGAGGGACATTTCTGCCCGTTCTTCTTTGCAAAATCACTCAAGCTCTGTTATTGGATGGAGAGTGTCTGTGAACAGCAATTTTCAGGTCTGGCCACAGATTCTACATTGGATTTTGCTCTGGACTGTGACTGGGCCATTCTAACACATGAATATGCTTTGTTTAGAAAGTTTGGAGACCCCAAATTTAGATCAAAGGGCCAGCTTACTGTCCTTCAGGTGTTTTTGGGGCCGGACTGTGATCTTTGGGATCAGAAATTGTCCTGGCATCAGTGGGGGAGTAAACCATGCATGTTTATTATTACGGGGAGGAATAGCATCCCACCTTTGGTGTCAATGGGGGAATAGCGCCCCATCGTTGGTATCAGTGGGAGGAATAATGCCTTATCATTCATGTCAGTGAAAGGAATAATGTCTTATCATTGGTGTGAGTGGGAAGAATAGTGCCACATCATTGGTGTCAGTGGGAGGAATAGTGCCACATCATTGGTGTCAGTGGGAGGAATAGTGCCCTATCATTGGTGTCAGTGGAAGGAATAGTAGAAATGCATTAAAACATTAATTTTGAAATGTACCATTGTTGCGCTCTCTTTAATGTAAGTTTTTTTTTTCTTCTTTATTTTGTGTAATAAACATTTATTTTGAACATACTGTAGAGAAATTCTGTGACAAATGCATGTATTGCGGGAAGTGTAATATGTAGGTGGGGCTTTGTGTGGGTGCGGCTTGAGTGGGCAGGGACACGGGGCCCCATGATCTCCTATTGCCCGGGGGCTCCATGAGTTGTCAGTCCGCCCCTGTTAGGAGCATTAGCGTTTTTACAGTACAAAAACAGCTGTTAGGAGCATTTAGGATCGGTCAGCATTTTATTCTGCCTTGGAGCAGAAAAAAATGCTCATAATAGCTTCTAGGAGCAAAAAAACCCGCTAGTGTGCATGGAGCCTAAAACAGGTTTTGCATTCCCTCAAAGTATTATTATAGGATTGCAAAACCTTTTTGAAGCCAACAAAAGTGCAGCAACACAAGCCATAAAGCTGTTCCAGTGTGTAGAACTCAGGTCAAATATTAGAACACTTGCAGGCTTATCTGCTCAGTGTATGTAACACACAGAATTGAAGGCGAGGTGGGCCTAAAGTAAATTAGAAGATACATTTTCCAAGTAAATCTATTTAATCATTGCACATTAAAACAAATCGAAAGTGTTTCAGGCTTTTTATGAACTCTTTTTATGGCTGATTGATCTTTAGGATAGTTAACTGTTCAGTGGGAAAAAATTCTTATGCTTTTTTGAGGCTGTGAGTGATTGCTCTGTGTACTGGTTACATGTCAAAATGGATCAAAACATTTCCCAGCAGAGTCAAGGTGCACTAAATATTCCTCTAGTCTGGCATTTTGTTTGGATAGCTGAGCTGTGGTCTCATATTTTCCTGGGGGATTCTGAGAATGTGGCTTAGTTTCATGGGATACAAAAAGTAAATTGGGTAAGACCCACCCATGTTATTGCTCAGAGAAGCCTAACCTACCTTGGAGAAGGCCGCCACTTTTATATGCAATAATTTTTTACCAATTTGTTACTGTTTTGATGGGCCTTTCTCTTTCAAAACTGCTTCTCTCTCTTTACAAGCCTACTTTAAAGTGGAAATTCACCCTAAAGATAACGTTTCCCTTTATGCCCTCCTCCCTACCTCATCTACTCTGGCACTTGGGGGGGGGGGGGGGGGTGTGCAACAAGGACCTGGTTTTGACAGGTACCTACTCCCTGCTCCCATTTCTGGTTGGATCTACTGGAAATTCTCCCCCCTCCCCTACCGCAACCTTTTGGAACATGTGCTGATCCCAGAAGCCTGCAGGACCATTCACAAAGCTCAGCAGCTCATACAGTAGGCATCTGGCTCTGAAGACAGAAAGAATCATAGCCGGCTACCCACAGTAAACATGCTGGGCACCTGAAGACCAGTGCAGAAACTGTTTGGGTGAGCCCTGAACAGGTGACCTTTTATTAAAAGTCATCAGCTACAGTATTTGTGGAACCTTTTTAAGTAGGTTGGTGCATCTTAAGAGGTCAAATGAATGTAATGCGGAAGTCGTCATACCTGTCAATGAACTCTGTGAATAATCTCAGAAGCATCTCAAACGGATATCAAATGTTAAAAGAATGTACTTGGAAGCATGCTGCCAGAGAAAGGCCTTATAGAGCATTTATGCAACTTCATTGTGCCTCCTTAAGCTTTACCAAAAACTAATGTAATGCTAGGGCCTGCCTGACTGGATACAAATGAAATAGATTGTTTAGATATGTCCTCACATTTTATAGTTATAATAAATCTAAAGACGTGTGCAGAGATTGTATGATCAGATTATAGTGTTTACCGCCAGCTTGTGTCTTCAGTACTAATGTAGCCTACAGGGATATTGGTCTGGTTGTTAAATTCATTATCCTGTAGTTCTGGTGGAGATGCCATCATATTACATGGGTACCTGTAATGCTGCTTTGATAACACAACAGCATACACTACAAAATTTTGTTAACCTTTTTACTTCTTTCTCTATCACAGGCCGACTGATGACAGCAACCAACCTCCGGGCAGGGGGGTGTTATCGATGCAAGGACTCACATATGGAGTTATTCGAGTGGACTCGGAAGAAAAACTCTCAGTGCTCACCGTGCAGGATGTTGGGACAGTGATGCCTGGTGGTGAGGAAATAAAACCATAAACTTTTTACCTTTTTTTAATTTTGATTCCTTGCTGTCATGTGTTATCATAAATATGTGGATTTCTCATTCAGCAAACCTTGAAACTGTGAGAAAAATCATTTTAATTGAAAGAAGAAACTGAAATCTTTGTCAGTTGTAGAAACAAATCATGGCAGTTTACTTACAGATTAAAGTAGGAAAGCTGTTTTTTAAAAAAAATAACATTAATAATATAAGTAATAAAAAATGATGTGACAAAGCTTAATTTCCTATAAGAAACATTCTTTGCTGTATCCTACCTGGTCACATAACATTATATTTGAAGAACTGTTATCTTTTCTGGGAAGGAAAACCTACTTTTATAGTATCTCAGTGTTTTTAATTAAGAACCAAAAAAACACATAATTGCTTAAACCATGTTGAACCATCATGTAGTGAAGGGGTTGCCTAAAACAATCATTTTAAGCGTTTCAGGTACTGAGATACAAAGTGGCATAACAGTAACCATAGCAACCCAGACGGCGGCTATGTGGCCTGGGGTAGAAGGGGGTCCCCATTAAGGAGGCCGTTAAGCAAAGCTAAACTAGATCTGTTGCCCTCGGAATTTGTGCTAATGACTGAAATTAACCATTTACGCCTGATGAGTAAAAATCTCAGAGTTGCTCATTACACATTTTTAAACAGCTAAGGTTTGTATTTCTAAAAAAAAAGGTTTATCAGGCTGTACTTTAAGAAGTTTGTATTAGGGGTATAGAATAATTGTGTGCAAGAGCATCAGTAATTTTGTCATAGTATAGAACCGCTTTTCTCAAGCTTTTCAACACAGAGGAACCCGTGAAATAACTTTCCTGTCTCAGGTAACTCTGCTATAAATTCCTGTATCTACTACTCATGATACGTTAGTGCGATGGTCAGGGGGAAGAATTACCCCCTTACAGATAACTAAATAGATCAATTGTGTCAGTGGGAACTTTTCTGAAAGGCAGAAATTGCTCATAGTTCAAGGAACTTCTATCCACTGCTGGAGGAATCCTGGTTGACAAACCCTATTATAGAATATCATTATGGTCATTAATATTGCTACTACAACCATAATTTTGATCCAAAGCCCTGGTTCCTAGTAGAGTACCGACTGTGTTGACAGCACTTCTGCTACCCCTTCTGGAGTTAAACATACCTAATGTTAAGATTTGTATTTAACAATGGGTATTAATGAAAATGCCAAGCTATCTGGCTTATTCTTTAGCAGCTAGGCTGGTCTTGTCAGGATCCTTCAGACCCAGCTCTCTTGGCTCTCCTGGCTTAATGAGCCTTTAGTGCCCGGTCATACCAGTGCGATTTCAGGTGTGATTTGCGAATTGAAATTGCACCTGAAATCGCATCTAGTGAATGTCAGTCTCTTAACATGTGCGATTTGCTGCAGTACGATTTCTAAAGTAGTTCTTGCCTTACTTTTTTTGCAGTTTTCTTGTGATTTCACATACTTAGACTATAATGGAAATCGCACTGCAAATTGCAAGAAATCGTTGAAAATCTTCACAAGTAGCAATAAAGTCTTCAGAAATCACACTGAAATTGCAGACAAATCAAGCTATTTTAAATTGCAGTGGTGTGACCGGTGACTTAGTTACAAGCCCACTCCTTGGCCTTTCAATGGGGGATCTCCTTGCACCTGGACTCTCTCTTGCCTCAGATTCCCTCCCAGTTCTGTGGGTAAGGAATCTCTCCCCCAACATGGAGTGCAGTCTCTCGAGTGGATCACCTCTCCTGATGAGAATACGCCTGTCTACCTGCACCTGCTGTCACAATTTCCAAAATAAAATGCAGCCTTCTGGGGCTCCGCGCACCCTGTCGCATAATTTATTGACAGAGTTCTGTGAATGGGAGAACTAATGGGACAGCCAATAGTTCTCAATGAACTACCAGGGTACTGATGAGCGCTCAAGGTAGTTCATTGATTCTTCCTGTCATTCAGTAACTGCCTGCCTGTATGAGGTACAGGCAGTTACACTTACAGTCTGCAGGAGCCTGACAGATCAGCAGATCATGAGTGCAATGCTTTACAGGCTCCTAATAAAAAAAAAAAAAAAAAAAATATATATATATATATATATATATATATATATATATACCGTATTTTTCACTCCATAAGACGCACCTGACCATAAGACGCACCTAGGTTTTAGAGGTGAAAAACAAGAAAAAAAACTGCAGACACAGTACAGGGGATGACCAGAGACTGCGTACACAGTACAGGAGATGACCAGAGACTGCAGACATAGTGCAGGAGATGACCAGAGACTGCGGACACAGTACAGGAGATGACCAGAGACTGCGGACAGAGTACAGGAGATGACCAGAGACTGCGGACACAGTACAGGGGATGACCAGAGACTGCGGACACAGTGCAGGAGATGACCAGAGACTGCGGACACAGTGCAGGAGATGACCAGAGACTGCGGACACAGTGCAGGAGATGACCAGAGACTGCGGACACAGTGCAGGGGATGACCAGAGACTGCGGACACAGTACAGGGGATGACCAGAGACTGCGGACACAGTACAGGGAATGACCAGAGACTGCGGACAGTGCAGGGAATGACCAGAGACTGCGGACAGTGCAGGGAATGACCAGAGACTGCAGACAGTGAAGGGAATGACCAGAGACTGCTGACCTTTGGGAGGGAGGGGGAGCGGGTACCTGAATTTGACAGGTACCCGCTCCCACTTCCGCGGAGTTGTCCTTCCCTCTTCTTCCCGGGCCGGCTTCTGTGACAGCCGGGTGCCCACTGCGCATGTGCGAGAAGTGCTGCGCTTTGTGAATGGCCCGGCGCCTTCTGGGACCTTTCATGTGTCCCAGAAGACACCGGATCATTCACAAAGTGCAGCACATGCGCAGTGGGCGCCCGGCTGTCACAGAAGCCAGCGCGGGAAGACTGTGCAGCGCTGGAGCGAAGAACAGGTAAGGCCCTGCAAGAGACAACAGCTGAGCGGCCGGCCCAGTATTCTGACATGGTGGCCGCAAAAATACCGGACCGGCCGCTTTATATTCGCTCCATAAGATGCACTGACATTTTCCCCCCTTTTTTGGGGGGAAAAAAGTGCGTCTTATGGAGCGAAAAATACGGTATATATATATATCTATATATATATCTATATATGAACACTGTACTGCCAAAAGTATTAGGACTCCCCTCCAAATCATTGGATTCAGGTGTTCCAATCACCTCCATGGCCACAGGTGTATAAATTCAAGCACCTAGGCATGCAGACTGCTTCTACAAACATTTGTGACAAAATAGGTCACTCTCAGAAGTTCAGTGAATTCAAGCGTGGTACCGTGATAGGTTGCCACCTGTGCAATGAGTCCATCCATGAGATTTCCTTGCTACTAAATATTCCATGGTCAACTGTTAATGGTATTATAACAAAGTGGAAGCAACTGGGAACAACAGCAACTCAGCCACGAAGTGGTAGGCCATGTAAAATGACAGAGCAGAGTCAACGCATGCTGAAGTCGCCAACTGTCTGCAGAGTCAATAGCTAAAGGCCTCCAAACCTTGTGTGGCCTTCAGATTAGTACAACAACAGTGCATAGGGAGCTTCATGGAATGGGTTTCTATGGCCAAGCAGCTGCATCCAAGCCTTACATCAGCGAGTGCAATGCAAAGCGTCGGATGCTGTGGTGTAAAGCACGCCACCACTGGACTCTAGAGCAGTAGACACGTTCTCTGGAGTGATGAATCAAACTTCTTTGTCTGGCAATCCAATGGATGTGTTTGGCAGTTGCGGAGTGGGGATTATGATGTGGGGTTGTTTTTTAGGGGTGGGGCTTGGTCCTTTAGTTCCAGTGAAGGAAACTCTTAAGAAGTCAGCATACCAAGACATTTTGGACAATTTTATGCTCCCAATTTTGTGGGAACACTTTGGGGATGGCCCCTTCCTGTTCCAACATGACTGCGCACCAGTGCACAAAGCAAGGTCCATAAAGACATGGATGAATGAGTTTGGGGTGGAGGAACTTGATTGGTCTGCACAGAGTCCTGACCTGAACCCAATAGAATACCTTTGAGATGAATTAGAGCAGAGACTGCGAGCCAGACCTTCTCATCCGACATCAGTGCCTGACCTCACAAATGCGCTTCTGGAAGAATGGTCAAACATTCTCATAGACGCACTCCTAAACCTTGTGGACAGCCTTCCCATAAGAGTTGGAGCTGTCATAGCTGCAAAGGGTGGGCCAACTCAATATTGAACCCTACGGACTAAGACTGGGATGCCATTAAAGTTCATGTGCGTGTAAAGGCAGGTGTCCCAATACTTTTGGCAATATAGTGTGTATGTATATACAGTTGTGTTCAAAATAATAGCAGTGTGTTGAAAAAAGTGAATAAAGCTCAAAATCCTTCTAATAGCTTTTATTTCCATACACACAAATGCATTGGGAACACTACACATTCTATTCCAAATCAAAACATGAAAGAAAATATATAAAATTTGTGTTGTTCCTCTAAAAAAAAAATTGAAGAAAAGTGAATATTAGACTGTTCAAAAAAATAGCAGTGTTTGTATTCTTCTTTACAAACTCAAACATTCACTATATAAACTGAAAAATGTTTGAAGATTTTGCTTTCCTTTGAATCACTTAATTAATATTTAGGTGTATAAGCACTGTTTCTGAGAACTGCTGTACATCTGTGTTGCATGGAGTCAACCAACTTCTGGCACTTGTGAACAGGTATTCCAGCCCAGGATGATTGGACTACATTTCACAGTTCTTCTCTATTTCTTGGTTTTGCCTCAGAAACTGCCTTTTTGATGTCACCCCACAAGTTTTCTGTTGGATTAAGATCCGGGGATTGGGCTGGCCACTCCATAACGTCAATCTTGTTGGTCTGGAACCAAGATGGTGTGTTTGGGGTTGTTGTCTTGTTGGAACACCCATTTCAAGGACATTTCCTCTTCAGCATAAGGCAGCATGACCTCTTCAATTATTCTGATGTATTCAAACTGATCCATGATCCCTGGTATGCGATAAATAGGCCCAACACCGTAGTATGAGAAACATCCCCATATCATGATGCTTGCACCACCATGCTTCCCTGTCTTCACAGTGTACTGTGGCTTGAATTCAGTGTTTGGGGTTCGTCTGACAAACTGACTCCGGCCACTAGACCCAAAAAGAACAATCTTGCTTTCATCAGTTCACAAAATGTTGCGCCATTTCTCTTTAGGCCAGTCAATGTGCTCTTTGGCAAATTGTAACCTCTTCAGCACATGTCTTTTTTTCAACAGTGGGACTTTGCGGGGGCTACTTGCAGATAGCTTGGCTTCACATAGGCGTCTTCTAATTGTAACAGTTCTCACAGGTAACTTTAGACCTTTGATCTTCCTGGACCTGATTATTGGCCTTGCCATTTTGGCTATTCTTCTATCCATTCGAATGGTAGTTTTTCGCTTTCTTCCATGTCTTTCAGGTTTTGGTTGCCATTTTAAAGCATTTGCGATCATTTTAGCTGAGCAGCCTCTCATTTTCTGCACTTCTTTATATGTTTTCCTCTCTCCAATCAACTTTTTAATCAAGGTACGCTGTTCTTCTGAACAATGTCTGGAATGACCCATTTTCCTCAGAATTTCAGAGAGAAATGCACTGTAACCAGCATGTACAACATTTGCTGCCTTCCTTCCTTAAATAAGGGCAATAATTGCCACCTGTTTTTCAAAGAATGAATGACCTCACTAATAGAACTCCACACTGCTATTATTTTGAACATGCCCCTTTCAATGAGTGATTGATTTACACAGAATCAGCAGCATGCATGTCATGACTGTTGGGTCTGTTGGATTTCTATTACTCTACTACACCTGCTAGTAAATTATTTGCCATGTAGAATTATCATTTCTACCAAAAGCAGTGATTGATCAGTTTAGTGATGTCTGACTGCTATTATTTTGAACACAACTGTATGTATAGTTTCCAAAGGTAGCCACGACACTCTGTTTTTATTATCGAAAATATAAACACTGCTGTTTTTGATCTTCCTCCTCTGCAAGACCCATGAGTGCCTCTAAACCAGTTTTGGATTTTATATTTTTTTTTTATTTATTCTCTATTGCCATTTCTTATATTATTATATATATTTTTCCAATTGAGCATTGCATTTTCTTACACATCTTAACCATTAGCCGCCCGGCCAATGGCCGTTTGGCGGCTTCAGATGTGCCTCTTCATTCCGGGTGCACGCCATTTGGCGTGCTCCCGCACATGTGCCGTTTGCGGTAATGCAGAGCGGCGCAGCAGCGGGATCTGTCACGGGCCGTGCACCTCGGACACGGCCGATGACAGATCCGAGTACCGGCTCCCGTTGCTGGTACCATGTGACCTGCTGTGACCAATCACAGCAGGTCACATGACAGTTGTATACAATGGATGGCTTCATTCATGATGCCATCCATTGTATACTAGTGCCTAGCTGTGAATGGTCACAGCTAATCACATGCACATGTCATGTGATTAGCTGTGACCAAATCACAGCTAAGCACAAAAAAAAAAAAAAAAAAAGCTGAATGAATCGACTTCATTCAGGTAAATGCTTGCTTATAGCAAAGTAATTCTTTGCTATAAGCAAATTGTGTAAAAAAAAAAAAATACTGATCACTTCCCCAAAGTAGTACAGTGTTACTGTGCTAACATTGTACTACTTTGGTCATAGTAAAATATGAAAAAAAAATCTTAAAAAAATAAAAAAAAATGTAATAAAAAATTAAATATAATAAAAAAATAAAAAAAAATTAAAAAAAAAATATATATTTTTTTTTCATACTGTCACCAGTCAGTGTCCCTGTTAACCGCCATGCCAGTTATATGATGACGCTGTACTGCACTGGTGACAGTATGTAAAAAAAAAAATATAGTTAAAATAATTTTTTTAATTTTTTAATTTTCCGAAAAATTATGACATAAAAATACAACTTCAAAAAACTCGCCATGCCTCTTATGAAGTACGTCGGACTGTCTACTCTGCAAAAAGGGGTCATTTGGGGGATATCTGTACTGTTCTGACATTCTTGGACCTCAAGAAATTAGATTGGCTGTCAGTACTTCAGGATTGATCAATATTCAGATCTATACCATAGTTTGTGAACTCTATAACTTTCCTACAAACTAAAAAATACATCCTAATTTGGGTTATTTTCACCAAAGACATGTAGCAGAATACATCTCGGCCTAAATTTATGAAGAACAATTATTTATTTGTAAACTTTTATAACAGAAACAAAGAAAAATGTGGGTTTTTTTCAAAATTTTTGGTCTTTTTTTGTTAATTTAGCAAAAAATAAAAACCCCAGAGGTGATTAAATACCACCAAAAGAAAGCTCTAGTTGTGTGAAGAAAATGATAAAATTTTAGTTTGGGTACAGTGTTGTATGACCGCGCAATTGTCATTCAAAGTGTGAGAGCGCTGAAACCTGAATAATGGCCTGAGCAGGAAGGTGTAAAATTGCACGGTATTGAAACGGTTAAGTAAAGGTACAGTTGCAGCGACCTAGTAGTGATATTTTACTGTGGTCATCTAAGGCCAGAGACCTGGGTGTGCCAGAGGGATAAAATGCACAGCTGAGCTAACCACATTGTTTAAGGCATTCTGTAAAGGAAGGAAAAGTGGAACATGT